ATTTTTGAACTACTATTTTAATGCATTTTATTGTATTGACCCGACATCTGCCAATGCATACTGTACACATTTTTTTTTTAGAATATTTTAGATAGGTTATTTTCTATTTTTTTTTTAAATAAAAATTATCCTTTAATTGAATTAAGTTAGTCTTAGTTAAGTTAGTTAATTTAAAAATGAGTTTAAATCAATACAAGTTGATGTTTAAGTTATAATAAATTATTGTTCACATTTTTTTAAGATGAGTGTTATGACAATAATTTATGATATCATATTCAGTCGTGTATTTCTTTCAAATTTATATAAGATATTATTTTTCATTGCATAATATGATTTATTTGTTAACGTGATTGTTTGAACCCTTCGTTAACGAATTGAAACATATTCATTGTTAGTGATTTTTTTTTAAATTACTTTACAATTGAGTTTATCGTAGTACGCAGTTTTTGAATACTTCATTGAAATCTCAATCTGACCACCACATGTCATGATATTATTTATCGTTTACACGGACAGATGTTGTAATTTCATCAAAAATCGATATTAAAATCGTTAAAGTCATAAATGTATTCTAATAATATATAAATTCGATATCTATACGTGTAATATAAATGTATAATAATTATCCATTTTGGTCATAATAATAATATAATATCCATACTGATTGATACGGTAACATAAAGCATACAAAATGTATAATAATGTATGACGGCGCCTTGTCTAGGCAAATTGGTACATGCGTGTAAACCAAAATAATATAATAATAATTATTATATTGAAATTACGTATAATATGTCTTATGGCTGGGGGTCATTCTGTTAATTTGTCCGACACCGAGAATGTTAACATGACGTCATTGGTGCGATTATTATTATTATAATTATAATTTTTTTATCGATACATCGAGAAGCTTAAAACTCGTGAGTACGTTTCATATTTCAGTACACGCCGCCCTTTATTATCCATTACTAAAAGTATTGTAAATGACGATTCTGTAGTTTAAATTAAAAATTTAAATACAAATTTAGAAAAATGTATACTCAATAAATAAATTCTTGTCTTTTAAACTTGTTTATTTTTTATACGTGTTAAAAAAGTTACCTAAAGTTTAATCCTTGTCTCCTCGTATCTAATACCAAATTGACATTGACATTCTTATGTCAACTATATTCAGTAGAAACAAGACATATACATGTACCGCGATGTAGGTATCTGTATATAGTGTAGATACTCTCGATTTTTTATTTAATTACTAGGTACTGAACTGTTGCTGTATAATAAGCAAAAAACGATATTGTAAGTTTTGAATGACGGAAAATTAGGTAGGTATTAACTAATTTATTTGATGTGTATGATTTTGTGTTTAAAATAAGGGGGTAGATAGGTATATATTAGGTATTATATTATTTATAGAGTTGGCTGATTGAAATACTAGTCAATTGAATAAACTTGCGCTATTTTATTAAACAAACAAACTTCCATAAAATTCATTAGGGTTGGCTGTATTGATTTCTGTAATTGATATGAGTCTGTACAATTTCAATCTAATATTTAATTACTTTTATGAATCACGTAGCAAGTTGGGTTTCTTCGAAATTTCAGATAATATATAACAATACAAATATTATATTACATCATTGCTCAAAGTGTAATGAAGTAATACGGTTGCACTAAGCTTCTCTGTATATAGGTATTTTATATTATAATAATAATAATAATAATTAATAATATAAAGACTGTATTTTGAAGTTGAAAAAATATCGCTTTGATATTAATTAGTATTAGTTTATTTTTTAGCATATTTATTAATAAAAACTTAGAATGAAATAATTTAATTTATTTTATCAACCATCTTAGATTTATATAAAAATTAATAATCAAATTTAAATCTACATTATTCAATTATTGTAATAATCATAATAATGAGATAAAATTTAATTTTTATTTATACATTATTTTATAAGTCAACATGCCCAGCACTATATAATTTTCAAAATACTTATTTATTTATATGAAAGCATATAAATATATATACATACAGTTAACTTATAGGGAAGTGCACTTTTATTATACTTTGGGTGTGTCGAAAATTCAAGGCATCCATTATTTTCTGCAATAAATCGATAAAACCACTATGGGAAATTATATGATCAATAATTATATGCATTTGACCGGACTATTATGTTAAGATACGTTTTTATTTTAATAAATAGAATCATAATAAGTATTTAGGTAGGTAGGTAGGTAGGTAGGTTGGTAGACAAAGAGTCTGAATAATGCAATTCTCTACACGTTGGTTAAAAGTAAAATTATATAAAAACAATTGTTTTTAAATTATTTTTCCATCACAAGTATTATGATATATGATGAGATTCATTGGATAGAAAAGGTTGAAAGAATAAAAAAGATGAATACAAAAAAGTATGGATGGCATAATAATAATGATAAATTCAATTCAATTTTCCGCCTTTTAAAATAGGCTCTAGAAAATAAAACATTTAAAGATTATCAAGATCAACATTATCTGGTTATAAACGTATAATGTATATATAGAGGTAGGTAATCAAAACACATTTGATAAGAAAGAAAAAGTTTTTATTTCATAATTCTTTTTTTATATGTCTATAAATTCTATATTCTCTTTCAAACAATATTAGTATTTTACTTATACAATAAAAATTGTAACTGGGTATATAAAAATTAAAATATAATATTATTATCTATTATTATAAATGATAATAAAATACGTGGCATTAAAATATGGTGATATATTTTTTTATGTAGCTCAAAAATTGTAAATAATCTACAACATATTATATCCACGCAATGGTTTCTATGTTAATTCTTCACGCTCAGAGATGTACGTATTCTAGTATTTCCAATGTACACTACAGCTGCTGCCGAGATTGTTATTTTAAATAATGCAAAATGTTATTCATTTGAAGGAATATTATGATAAAATTATATTTGAATGAGAACCTCAGAACAAATTTACCAAGACTTTAATTCCACATACCTTTTATGTATTAAACATAATATGACAATATATAAGTGTATATTAAATAATATTTTATGTTGACAAATATTTCGTCACAAGTGTGTAGGAAGTGTAAATGTATGTTTTATAAGGATATACAATTGTTGTAACTTTTGTATCTTTCTAAAGTTTTTCGATTTAAATAATATAATATTACGACTCATTATATTTATGCCTGGAATAAAAAAAAATGTGTTATGTACCTATGGGAATTCAAACAGAAGTTCCATGCTAATTATAAATCAATACCTACGCAATTATAACACAGTATACAAACAAATTGCTTCCATACTTGTCCCCATCGCCATTTTTTGGTGTATCCTTAACCGAAGATTTTTATTTGTGATGATTTTTTATTTTATTTTTTTGTGTAATAACACATAAAAGAATCTATGTCAAAACAGAGGGTTTTTTGTTATCGAAAATAAAAAAAAATAAACAACTTTTGATCTATGAACTACAATATAGTGATTTTGAATGTGGTTTTAATTTTGAAATGTCGTTAGGCAAGCAAAAATAAGAGTCTGGGGGTCGATTTGGCCGAGCGGTCTAAGGCGTCGGTTGAGGCGCAGCCGTCGCCGGTTTGATTCTCGGCCACTGGGTGGCATTTTTCTTCGGGCAAGTCACGGTGTCCGGAGAACAAGTGCCGCCATCCCCTTTCCAGAAACCTACAGGTGTCCCACTAGAAATTCTGCCAGACCACACACACGTGTACCAAACCTATCCAATACAACAACTCACCGTTCCACTCCCACCCAATATTCTATGTTGCCACCGGTCATCTAATTAAAAAAATAAAATAAAAGTCTATTAGGTATTTACATAATATCTACATAATATACCTTAAATATTTGCATATTATTATCGTTATAACCATAATACTTATTTAAAAATGTTCGGAATGGAATTTTGATTTTTTTTGAAAATAATTTTTTTCATTTACTCAAATTAATTGCTTCAATACACTTAGTATTATTAAAATGTAGCTTAAATTAACATAATATATATATTTAATATAAATATTAGGTATTAGATTATCTAACTATGGTGTATGTGATTTAATGTATATGTTTAATCGGGAATCCGGACAAATGTAATTATGGGGAAATAAATAAATAATGCCTTTGGCAATGAGAGTACTGTGTTGAGTAGGGAGATAAGAGGATTGAGTAATGAGCTTAAATTAGATATAAACCTGGAACAGGTGTCGGTGAATTTTTCTGTATGTGAGTTTTGTTGTTGTTTAGTGGCTTCTGTGTAATATTTTGCTATGGGGTGAGCTTTGAATTTGAATTTGAGTTCAGGGCACCTAGCTGGAGGAATTTTTTTAGCAGCTTTTTGGAAAGCTGCCCTGTATACTGGGCGTCCCTTAAAGTTGGCGGTGTGGTCCCCACTGCATATTGCGCATTTGGCGGAATTGTTGCAGTCTTTGGAACAGTCTTCCGTGAGGTGATTTTCGCATCGTGATTTACGCATCCAGGTGTATGGTGGCAACTATTTTTCGTGTTTGCCGTAAAATTGGCAGTTATGAAATTGCGGAGGGCTACTCTTTTTATGCTGTTTCTCGATCTTAACTTTAGTGTTGAGAAGCGACGTGATGTCGTGAATGTCTTTATTGTTGTCCTGTGGTAGGACATCCACAAAGAATAGTGGAAGGGGGGTTTGCTTTTGTTTTTGGCGTTGTACACGTGTTTTACTTTGTGACCTAACTCGTTCAAAGCTTTTATGATATCGATGTTTAATGTGGAATAGTGCAAGTTTCTAATGACGACTCTGTAAGTGCGGAGGTGACTTGGGATATGTGGGTGGAAACTGGCGTCCGTTTCATGTAAGTTGTCAATGGTTTTATTGTAATTTAAACTACTTGATTGTATAACCTTGAGGTATGCCGATGATGCCCTGCAGGTGAAACCTTTTCGGCTGGTGATATTGGTTAAGATAGTATTGAAAGCGGAAAAGTTCACTATGTTTTTAACAAAGATAGGTGGAATGACCGGGTCCCTGACCTGAACGGTGTGAAGCTGGTTCTGAGGAGGAGCGTCCATCGAGTTGGATGCGGACGTGGCTGCGGCTTCTTGGTCGCCGGAGTCATTTGTGGCGAGTACAGCAAAACGATTTTGTGTAATAAAACTTTTGATTTTTCGTCAGTTAGACTCGGCGACATCGACGAACTTGGCAAATTTCTTTTAGACGTATTGGGCAAAACGAGGCCCGGATTACGGGTGCTGTTGTTCATTATAAGGTTATAATAAAAACAAATAATTAATGTTGACTAAAATATTCATAATGTTAATTGGCGAGCGCGCACAGAGATAACGCAGCGATACGCCGGAGAAAGCCACTTACGTGCATTCATGCTAAATATCTGGATATTGAAAAATAGTTTTAACAGCATTTATAGCATTGGTTACTGCCAACGTATTTTCTTACTATTTATTTATTGTCGTGCCCTACTAAACACTGTTAGAATATTGGCAAGTTACTAAAAAAAAAAAAATTCAATTTCAGTATTTATTAATTGTTCAATAATAATAATAATCGTAAGGAAAGTATTCCAACAATACATGCAGTTTGAACACTGGAGTACCGTTTTGAATGCTATATTATATTATAATATATTGTATTAATTTTAACTTTGCATGATATTTACCAAACAATTATGTCAAATAACTACCTACTGAATGATATTAGTGCGGGCTTAAAATATTCAAGATATATTTTATTGACTGTGCATAAAAATAATTGGTAAATGTAATTTGTATGTTAAAGTTTCGTAGTCCGAAAAAATGGAAAGTCTACGACGAGAGACTGTTGATTGTTGGTCCATCGCTTTGCTTGTTTTGGTAAAAGAGAAAAACGAATACTGTTAAATACCGCGATAAGAGTTCACATATTTTATATCACTTTAATCAACTCTGAAACAAAATATTACACTCCGTCATTGATATTGTTGAGGAGTCATGGCGATACATTTAACCAGTTTACCCATTATGATAGTTGTAAAAAAAAATAAAATTATATAAAATGATTAGTTTTGTCCCGCTAGTGAACCTCTGGTGAAATGCTACGAGACGAGTGGGTGACTTGCACACAACGATATTAATATTACGAAACACTGCACTTCGCGTGCAGTATTACAACGCCTTAACAGCTGTGAGGTGTCATACCTAAGCTCATTTGACGAGAACACCCGTTTTTACGGTTTCGCATAATATTATCATACGATGTGCGGTGTACTATTATTATTATTTTACAGACAGACGGTTTAAACCATATCGATTAAACATGATAATATTATGCATAATTCATCATTGTTATACGATCTGCCCGACGAAGTGCACGCAAACTGATTATTATTGCAGTTGTACAGTTTGTACGACGATGACAATCACATGGTATTTCCCACGAGCTAGAAGTCGTATGAATACCGTGTTGATCGAAACTATAATGTTATGCACATTAATTGCATTTATTATACCGGAACGTGTTCCGATAATTAAATATAATATTATTATCAGAGGGGTGTATTTTAATATAATATTTATATCAGTTATGAAAATCCACGTGTTTTACATATATTATTATGGTTTTTTTTTCTATAGCGATTTGTTCATCGAAACAGAATATTAATATTATTTGTAATATTATACTTGTATGACAATTATTAAACATACTGTGCATGTGCAATCAAAAATATATTTCTACAAGCGAGCACACACATAGGTACAAGTGGTTTAAACCTACACAAACGCATTTCATGGACACACCATACGTCACAGTGAACGTGTGCATAGATGTGAATATGATGATATGGTTAGATACGTCATTTTCACCGCACAAATAATAATTTTTACCACTGTGTCTGGAAATAAAATAATATACAATCCGACCACCGAACTTTTTTATTCGCGCGAACAAAAGGCTATTGTCATTTTGCACTCGATGCCCGTCGAAAATAATTGGAGGACAGTCGTGTTACTTGTTGGATTCCGGTGGTTTTTGAGCCATACAGACCCAATTATAGATAGCATTGTTATCGACGAGGAGATGGCTAGACGGATTGTGTACTATGTGTCCAAATTATTGTATGTATAAAATAGTTGTATTTAACGTGACACCATAACTGTAGCGGATTTCGTTGTCGACAAGAGAAACAGACTATTATCATAATAGTACAATATAATAATTCTATATTACAATATTCAGACGATATTTCCGTATCTTAAATGTTTCAAGCTAGATATTATTGTTATTGAAATAAGGTTTTATCCACAATTCGTTCTGAAAATCTTAAATATAATAATATTAAAACTTAACAGTCAATGTATCAATTAATTAGATATAGAAATGTATTTAATTATTACTATACGAATATTGTTTCTGTATAATGTTTTGATAACATTTTTATTAAGTACCAGTAAATGATTCATTAACTGCTTACCTTTTGTTTTTTTGAAAACAAGACGTTTCACCTTAATGTATATAGTTCAGTAATATAATTGTGAACGTGACTTGGAAATAAGATGGTTGAGTATTTATTTTGTATTTTTAATTATTTGCATAAAATTATCTTAAACGCGTCACATGTTAAAAATCATTTCAAATGTATAATATAGATATAGCTTACGTAAAAGGTATTGTCCCATTATAATTTTATTCGTATATTTATCATAAATGTAGAAAATCTAAACTGATGTGAAACACTTATAACAATAATTGATGTGATATTATAGGTATCTAGGTACTGGAGCTTATGTTCATATTTTATATTTCAAATTTGTAACAATTAAAAAATATATAATATTATAGGTATTAACGTTATTTTGGTATTATATATTTTGTTCGATTGTTCGAACGTTTTTGCAACATACTTAAGTGCATTTGTATAATGCACACATGAATAACAGTAGTAAACCTTGATTTTAAGATTAATGTATCTTGAGTTTGTTGACTTAAAAACATAATAGAAGTCCCCCTAAAGCCGTTTTATTATTCTTTTGTTTGTAATTATTATTATACGTATTGCGTGCTCTGTTAACCACAGCTACGACTTGGGTTATTCGTTTATCAAATCAAAGTTTCCAAAACATTTTCTTGACTTTGACGGTGTCCATATTTAAAAGTATTAATATGTCATAAAAAATAAACATTTTGATAGTATATATTATTGTAGTTGTTTCGGAAAATAAATCGTGATGGAAAATCACCGAAAAAATACAATCAATGTCACAACAGAAAATCTCAAAGATAAATAGATGTGTGGGTATAAGAAGTGGAAATATGAAGTGATATATTTTTACTATTTTTATTACGTACATTCAATCACTGAAACAATATCAGCTGATGATTGATAATAATTGACAATTATTGTTTTTTATTTTTATAAGTAAACGTATCTTATAAATGTAAAAATACTAGCTATAGGTACATCGAATCACAAGTCCACTCTTTCGACTGTATAGTTGTGTAGTTGTCACTTGTCAATGATAATAACAATAATAGATTTATCGGTTCTGATTTTGAACTTGGGATCATGCGTTTTCGTCGGTATGGAAATAATGCCAAACGTCATCGTCATCATAATTTATTGAAGCTATTAACATATTATTATTGTACTATTGAATGTCCAAAAACTAAATTGTTTAATCGAGAGAAATTACCGTATGCATATATAGCTGCCGTTCACAAGCCACATTGAATTATGTGTGATTAATTCTGGTCTTGGGCGCCGTATCCATTTTAATTTCCATAATATAATAATTTAACACAATAGTGTGATACAATAACATCATGGCCAACAGATTTATTATTATATTTATTATTATTATACCTATTATATCTGCTGTGAGAAATCCTGGTCCGGTTTACTCATCGAGTTGAAATTAATTAAATTCATTCTTACGGCATGCACTACATGGTCCCTGCACACCGCTCGATGGTATAATACGTATATTATTGATCGGGGCTGTAAAAAAAAGGAAGAAAAAAACAGTAACCAAACAAACAAACGTTTTATAGTTTGACAAACTGTGTTACATATATATATAAATAATATATAATACCATAATAGCACATTATAGTCTGCAAAAGCTCGGGGTAAACTTTTCCGAACCACGATATTGTGATACGCGTATTAATTTACGTATGAAATTTCGGCGGAGTTGTTTCGCAACATTAAGGTAAGTAATAAAATATAGTAATAATTCAGTCCGATAATCTCAGGATAAACTTTTGGGACACATTTGTAGTACAATGACACCGTAATCCCATCAATGCTAAACGGAATAATAAACCGGCTAAACCTTAATAAATCAGTATAAATATTCACTTGACCGTAGTACGCAGTTTCAGACTTGTTCGTAGGTCTATCTATACTTCGTGTACACGTGGGTTACCTACACACTCGTGTTTCATACCGGAAAAGACTTCCTCGGCCACAACTCGCGATTATACACAACAATAATAATAGTAATAAATATGAAATCGCAGACCAATACGCACATATGCGCTTAGAAGTACTTGTGCTGGAGCTCAAGGCAAATGGCTTATAACAACTCATGTATTATATTATTATTATTATTGTCATTACGATGGCATATCAAAATATTATTACGTTGTTTTGTCTCGTTTTAGGTTTTATTTTGTCAGGATGAATAATACCTCGGAGTTACTCTCGAAGTATTGTCTGTCATTAACATAATAACAACGACGTGCGATGCCGAATCCGAGTTTGAAAAACGTATCAAAAATATATATTCAAATTTAGTATTATAAATTTAGTTTAGCTGATGATGTATTTATAGTTTATATTATATAATATGATAGTATATTTGTGGCCTGATGTGTGGTCCTCAGTCACTAATGGCGTTCTGAGATCAAGTCGGTGTTGCTGGTTCCCGGATAGTTGACCAACCGGGTTTTAGTGACAAATACTCTCCGTACATACGTGTACTGAACCAACCATATCCTATAACGATCCCCCCACACACACACAAAAACTGACTAATAACCATGCAGTCTATGTCTTTAAAAAAAAATTAATTAATTAAAAACATAGTATATACGTGGCGATTAAGTTATAAATTATTTAATTAAACTGTAAGCGTCTAAGACAGTTTGTATATTTTATCGTATAAACAATAATTGAAGATTGACTGGTTTTCAGAAATTATATCAAAACTCCGAATAATGGGCGATGTAGTCTCGAAATATTATGGTTTAAGTGTGACGAATTGC